TGCCATATTGAGTCAGATCAATGGTATAATCTGCTCAATATTTTGTTTCTCAGAGTGGCACCAAGGGCATTTTGGGAAAAATTTAGAGCCCAATCTCTTTGACGCTAGTCTCAGAAAGTTAGAGGAGTCCCTCAAACACTCTTTATTTTCTCCCTTCTGATTTATAACATATTTCAAGTGTAGGGTATAACAGAATACATATACATCTCCTAGCTTTAACAAAACTTAAGATGATTATATTCCTTCAGATGTATATTTTTTCAATTTTGAAATAGAATGTGAATGTGCTGATGCTCTCGGTCATCACTTTTTCCCCAGTGGTAGCCATTATCCTGAACTTCATGTTGATCACTTCCATGCGTGTTTACTGAGCTTAAAAATTGTAAATCTTCCACTCATTATTCTAGCTTAAAACCCTGAAGTACTTACGGGTATAGGCACAACCTGAACAACTTCTTAAGTTGTGGGAAAAGCAAATTCAGAAGTAAGGGGACGATGGTTAAGTAATTTCATCTTTCCACAGGCTGTTTCCTCCTGGGATGATGATCTTTGTCCTACCCACCCAACTCAAGTGAGATGGCAGTATTCATTCACAATAATGTGAACACAATGTTCTTTGGAAAAAGATAAAGTGTGATCCACATGCAAGGTTCTAGCACTTTTATTAATGAATTCCTTATGCATCTTACTCCCTTTACAGAGTAATAGTTTATTTGTCCTGAAAGCGAAGGGAAGGGCTCCTGCTCATGATGAACTAATGCTTTCCTCCCTGGCTTGATTTTATAAACTTTGATTATAGCCCTTCTCAGCCTTCATCTTTCTAGACAAACAGATAAGATTGTTTTATGCTTTCCCAATGAGAAAAGTATTCTATTAGAATTTTCATAATTGTTCTTCTAAGTCTTTTCTAAGTCTGTTATTTTCTTTTTGGAGGCACAGTAGCCAAAATTGCCTACAGCATTACAGGTGCAAAAAGGTTTGCATTAGGTGAAGATTTATTAAAGCACTTGGCAAAGACAATTGCACTGGAGTAAAAAACAAAACAAAACCTAACCATATCAAAGTGACAATGAGATACTTCATACCCATCAGGATGGCTTCTATTAAAAACAAAACCGGAAAATAACAAGTGTGGGCATGGATGTGGAAAAATTATGACACTTGTGCTCAGTTGGAGGGAACAAAACACGGTGAGTTGCTTTGGAGAACAGTAAGGTGGTTCCTCAAAATAATAAAAATAAAAGTATCATATGATCCAGCAATTCCACTTCTGGGTGTAGCTCCAAAATAACTAAAAGGAAGGTCTTGAAGAGCTCTTTGTACACCCATGTTCACAGCAGCATTATCCCCAATAGGGAAAAGGAGGAAGCAACTCAAATTTCCAACAGTGGATGAATCGGTTAAAAAAAAAAAATGTGGTACATATATACAATGAAATGTTATTCAGCATTAAAAAGAAAGGACACTCTGACACATGTTACAACATGGATGAGCCTTGAGGACATGAAGGTAAGTAAAATAAGCCAGTCATAAAAAGATAAATGCTGTACGATTTCACCCACATGAGGTACACAGAGTAGTCAAATTCACAGAGACAGAAAGTAGAATGATAGCTGCCAGGATTGACGGAGAGAAAGGGGAGTTGCTGTTTGATGGGCATAGAGTTTTACTTTTGTAAGATGAAAAGAGTTCTGGAGATAGGTTGCACGCCAATATAAATGTGCTTAACAGTACTGAACTATACACTTAAAAACGGTTAAGATGGTAAAAAACAAGAACAAAACAACAAACACCCCAAATCTAGGGCAATAATGTTCTAGAAGGATTATAAGCATATTACAGAAAAATAAGGAAAAGTCTCCATCAAGCGGGCACCACCATGAAGAGCATGACTTTTCTGCCAGGAAAGGAGGTCTTCTCCGGACCTCCAACCCACAGTTCACTGCGCTTCCTAGTCATTTTGTTTTGCCAGTGGCCCATCTTTTGCTTCTTTCCCTCTCTCCCCAAACCTAGAATATTATTATGCATTTGCAGATTGCTTTCAGGAGGCACTGAATAACTATTTGTAGATGGCTGATTAACAGAAGGGATAGTGGTTAAATGCATAGCTGTGGAGACTCAGATCTAATACGGGTCTGGGTTTCACCATTTACTTGTTCATCACAAGCTACATGACTTCTCTAAGCCTTATTTTTCTCACACATAAATCAAAGAGAGAATAGTAACTACTTCCTAGAGTTGCGTGAGGGTTAAATAAGCTAGTTCTTTTTTTTTTTTTTTTTTTTTTTGAGACGTAGTCTCGCTCTATCTCCCAGGCTGGAGTGCAATGATGTGATCTCAGCTCACTGCAACATCTGCCTCACCGGGTCAAGTGATTCTCCTGCCCCAGCCTCCTGAGTAGCTGGGATTACAGGTGCCCACCACCACACCTGGCTAATTTTTGTATTTTTAGTACAGACGGGGTTTCACCATGTTGGCCAGGCTGGTCTTGAACTCCTGACCTCAGGTGATTCACCCACCTCGGCCTCCCAAAGTGCTGGGATTATAGGCGTGAGCCACCATGCCCAGCCAATGAGCTAGTTCTTAGCATGTTATCTGGCTAGAAAATCAAGGAAGGAGTTAAAGGCAAATATGTAGGAAACATCTGAGTGGACTGGACTGAGCCTGGTCTACATACAACCCTTCACCATGATATTCGCATGCCTTCAACACAAGGCACTACTTGGTAACTGCTCAGAAAATATTTACTGGATGAATAAATGAACTATAGGACAAGGCTGAAAATTTGAATTCTGTTAAAAAATAAAGTTATGAGCAATTTCTTAATATATTTTAAAGACAGTGCTGTATATTGAAGAGGTAGATCGTGATGAATACTTAATATTTATTTCGGGGAATTTTAGCTTGTTTAGAGCCTTATGGGTCCATTTCAAGTTACTTTAGTGCCCACTATATTCCCAGACACTAGGAGTGCATGAGGAGTGCAGCATAAAACACACCCTTGCTCTCTGGTTGATCTTGGTCAAGTGGAAGGGACAGGCATGGAGGGGCATGGTGGAATGAGCACCATGCTGGAGTCATGTTCTCAGGGTGCAAAGGAAAGTTCCATCAATGCTGCGGGAGGGGAGGGTGGTTTTGGTTTGGGAACACCAAGCCCATGACATGAACTGGGTTATGAAGAACAGGTAGCGTTTCTCCAGGTGGAGAACGAGGAAAAGGCAGAGGGGACGAGATGCGGAAAGGCATGGATGGAGGCAATGGGGGTGAAGCCACCAGACACCTTTGGGGAGATGGCAATTGTGTTTATGAGGTACAGAGTGAAAGTGGGGGAAAGGGAAACAGCCTTGGGGACAGGTAGGGTCGCATGGCTCAGAACTCATTTGCCCACAGAGGAGAGGGGCTTAATCTCGTGGCAAAGGGAAACCGCAGAAGGGACTTAAGCAGAAAAGTGATCTGATCAGATGGATACTTGAAAGATAACTCTGGCAATGGAGGGAAGGGTGGGCAAGAGAGGCCAAGACTAGAGGAGGCAGGCAGTCCAGGTGACAAACTGGTGAGGGAAAAACTGGGAGAGATGAGAAGATCCAGAGATCTCAGCTGTAGCAAAAGGAATGAATGGGTGAGATGTTAAGGAAGGTGAGTTCAGGTGTGAGGTCAAGCAGAGGGCAAGGATATGTTTAACACTGCAATCCTCATGCAGAGACTATGCTATTAACATAATAGGTACTAAACTAACTTGAAATGGACCCACAAGGCTCTGAAAAAGCTAAAATTACTTGCTCTGTAAGTGAATGAAAACATTTAAACCATCGCTTACATACATACTAACATCATATGTGCTAAATACAGACTCATGTACGTGTGACACCTTTCATTTTGGCCTGTCGCCTGAAAATCAATACCCTTGTTTAAAAAAAAAAAAGGGTGGGTTGACTCTGCAAACCAACTTCAACAATAATGACCTCTCCTGGCTTTTTAGAGCATTTGCTTCCAGCTGAACCCAAGGAATTAACTTTACTGGGGTCCCACTCTTTGGTTTCAAATGGGAAACCAAAGTCACCTTCCATGGAGATCAAGTGCCAGCATGGAGAGTTTTATCCTCAAGAACCTGAGACGCAGGAGCTCTGTAATGAAGCCCAGCATGCTCTGCTAGAAGATTCGACTCGCAGTCAGGTTGAATGTGATGGCTAAGCACAGCTGGGTGATGCCTGAAAGCAAGGAATTTGAGTTCAGGAAAGGCACTGAGGAGTGGTAGTGACATCTTGTAGGGGCAAGCTTTCTATCTGCCTTGCACTAGCTGCACTAGAAGAATTGGCCCTCGGCTTATGAACAAGACCCTAGGACTGGACCATTGAAGACGGTGAGAAGATAAGAAACCCAATCAGATGATACAGAAGGTAAGTTAGAATCACTAGATTTTGGCAAGCTTTCTGGGTGCTCTACAATTAGCTTAGGCAAGCTAATTAAAAAAGCATCATATCTAAGATAGTAGTAAGTGAATTCTCTACCAAAAGACACATAGAACACTGCAACTTTCAATTACCTAAAGATTTCTATGACAAACTGTGAATAAGTAATCCATTCTAATAATAATAACCACTGAAAGTTCCTTTAGTATCAGTCTATATTCATATCCATTGCACAGAATTACAGTCACATCCTCATACTCTCTGAAACAACTTTGCCCAAGTATTTTTACAATTTCTTAACGGAGGGTTTTCAATCCTTTACTTCTACAATCTTCAGTGCTGACCCTCTTCCTCCATCGTCCTACTCCCCCAGGCCCCTTCCCCAACCATTTCAAAAGTATAACATCAGAAAAGTAATGCTGAAACACAAACCAAATGCCTTATGATCAATACAAGTTCATTGCATAAACTAGGATGTTGGTTAAGGTGCAATAATTAAGTGCAAAACCTCAAAATGTCTACTGATAATCCTGTGACTCGATAAAGCATCTGAACAAAAGAGACTAACAAGTGAAGAGTCCAGTGTCTCACCCAGCTCCACATCTTGATCATCGGTAAGCACAAGAATAATGTTGGGTCGAATGTTTTTTCGTTCTTGCTGTATCCGTCCTCTGAACCTCGGGGATCTGACAGTCGAACAGAGGCTTCCCAGCAATTCTGTGCCCAGGACAGCCAAAACCAGAGCACAGCAAGAATACTTCATTGTATTTGGTCCAATGTTGCAAAACTGACAAAATGTCTCCGTCTCCTGATTTCTGGAGTTCTGGGCAGTCAGAGAAAAACGGAGACGGTGAGACTAAAATGAAATCCAAACTCCAAGCACAGTTGCAGAAAAAGGGCTACAAATAAGTCAGTATTGGCACATAAGCTGGCAGAGACAGGGTTGCACATGAGTCAGAAATAGCAAACCCTCACAAGCGCTGGGTAGTTTTTTAAGCACTTGATTATTTTGCAAATTCACTTTTGTCCTTTATTCTCATTCCAACTTTTCCTATTTCAATTCATTGCCAAAATAGAATTTCCAACACAGAGCTCAAATGTAAAAGCTTTCTGACAAGAGCTAATACCTTGAATTAGGTATCCTGGTTGAATAATCAATTTCTATTCTCAGAAGTATTCAGAACATCTGCAGATAGGGTCCTGGAAGGAGGAGAAAAAAATACAAAGGAAATATCAGTCAACGATTTTAAAAACAGATTTTTGATCTGAAGTAGTCTCTTGCAACAGCATATTATATGTGTATATATTATATATATTTTCTCTTCTGTGCTCCAAAAGGGAGGAACAGAAGGAAACAACTTTCAGAACTGCTAACAAATGACTCAAATGCTATCTTCATTTCATAATCAGCTCCATAAAAGGGTGGTAAGGTATCGCCCTGCTCACACTCTGACAGCACTTTACACATCCCCAACAGAGCTGACGATCGATTAGGAAGAGCCAGCAGTGCCAGGGAAACAACAGAGCATTGGGAACGAGTGTTTGCATGTGGGAAGCAGATGGCGCAAGGGGCCTGTTGGGGAGCGCTGACTCACCTGCGTGTGATACTGAGTACCTAGCAAGCAGAACGAAACACACGCCACACCTGTCATTTGTCATCTGCATTATATCATTCACTACCCAGGAGAGTCTTTTCTGCTGACAAAGACTTCAGAGTAAGTGACTGGGACAATTTTTTCCAGCCTCTGAAAACCTCCTCACTGTCCCCCATCAATCAATCACCAGAAGGAAAAGGTGCTTCCTCCGTGCAAGGCTGGTTCCCCTGTCCTCAGCTTGTGCCGGCACCTAAGTGGACAGAACACCCTTTTGATTGTCAATCACCCGGCTTACTGCTGGCGAGACCGGTAAGACACAGATAGCACAGGGGTTTCACTTTGCTGCAGATCTTAAACCTGCGAAGCAAAACGATTGATTGGCCCTAAGGCTGGAGTTAGCGGCTACCCTTCCACATTAAAAAATAAATAAATAAAATCCAGAAGGGCGAGCTGCAAAATCTTTGCAAAGCTGCACAGAAGGAGGCTTTTGAAAGGGTTGGAAAAATGCCCCTCTCACTTTGGAACACTAACCTGCTGAAAGCTTTTCTCTTGGAAAGATAGCAAAGGGCTCATTAAAAAAATAAAATCTTTGTCTCATATGTCATGAGGGAGCATCTTTATGGGAATTTAGGCTGCCCTAAAATTAATTAGATAGTAGTCTGTTTCATCAGTCACTCAGTCCCCATACACCTGAGAATCTGTATTTTGATCTGCAACAATAAACTGGCATTGGATAAGTAGGCATAACTAATTAAGTGTAAGCATCGCATAGCAGGAGGAAAGGGCTCCATCTCTCAACTTCATGCCCTTAATTCTGGAGGGTGACAGGGGGTAGTGAAAGAAGAAAGACTGGATACCATATACATTATTTTGTTTTACACAAACACACACATATTTTAAACTTTATGAGCTGTTTTGTAAACAGTTCTAATGCTTTTCACTCTGCAGCCTGTAATTATACTGCAGGAGAGAGAAAGAGACAAGAAGAAATAGGTTTTTTAAACAAAACTCTAGTGTCTGCAGCCAGGCAGTCCTGACTACATTATCTGCAACACACAAGCCAGCTCCAATTGATAATGGAGCTCTGTAGAAGTCACTAACGTAAGATTTGGTGCTTTCTTCTTAATAACTCAGGGTGATTCCACAGTGATTGCTGTGCATGCCGAACACTGAAAGCCTGCAATTATTCTGCACTGACTGTTTGACTTCTGTGCATTTGTTTTAAATCGTGAGACACTTGATACAGGCACGAAGGGACAGGAAAATTAAAGGAATAAAATGACAAACAATGGCTTGTTCTCACAAAGCATGGGTCAGGCTAAATAGTTAAATACAGAAATTTCTTAAGAGGTTGGTTCTTTAAGCAGTAAAACTTTGCTCACCTCTCAAAGCCTGCAGAGGTGTGTGAAGGGAAAGTTTGTGAAGAGGGCCTTTGTGCACCCACTATAGTGTAAACCAACCTCTGCTGACAGTAGCAACCCGGGAGGAACAATTTCAGGCTCACTGCATTAGACAAACAGTGGCATTTGAGTTTAAATAATCAGCAACACGAGAAACTGGAAGTTCTTGACAATTCAGATGCTGATAACCTTTGCTGGAACTCAATCAACACTGTTAGTTATTCTTTTGTTTATCTTATTTACTTTACTTCTTCCTTTAGGAAAAAGCAAATTAGCTTTAATGATACCTTTGTGTAAACTACATCAAAAATCATTTCCTAATATGGAAAAGAGAGAATGGTTTTTTCCTACGAAGCGAACTTCCCTTCTGGTGAATGAGAAGTGCAGAAAAGATCTACGTTATTTTCTGCCACGGTTTATCTTATTTTTTTAACTAAAATTTTTTATTTTTATTGACAAATGATAATTATATATATTTATGGGGTTCAATTTGATGTTTTGATATATGTGTACTTTGTGGAATGATTATATCAAGCTAATTAACAGTCTATCTCCTCACATGCTTATCATTTTTTTTTTTTTTTTTTGTAGTGAGAACATTGAAGAATCTACTCTGTTAGCATTTTTGAAACATACGATTAATTCATTGTTATTAACTGTGGTCACCTTGCTGGGCAACAGATCTTGAAAGTTTATGCCTCCTGTCTCACTAGAACTTTGGACCCTTTGGTCAACTTCCCCCACCACCACTACCATTCAATTCAGGGAATTCGTACCTACAAAGATATCCATTAAGTGGTCAAGAAAATTGAAATTTTCACCTAGTCTGGCCAGCAAGAGTCCTCTCTCTCTTTCATCTCATCTTCCTTCACGAAAACACACAAAACATGCCATTCTAGAAACACTGCACACAGACAATTCTTTATTCGAAAATGACCTTTCAAAGCCTGTCATCCTCTTACTGCCTGGTTTTCAGCTCCAGAAGGAAAAGAAGTAAAGAAGGGAAAAAATCCTGACAGACAAAATGCAGAGCTTGACAGAAAGAGACAAGGATGCAATGTTTGAATTGGATACTTTGTGGTGGACAACAAGAGTCCTTAGAGACTAGCAATTGGTCTTGAGAAAGAGTAGAAAATGAAAGAAATGTAGAAAGGTTTTTCTCACACATACAAAGTGAGTTTGAAGAACAGTGTTTTATTCTTCACCGATCAAGACCAGGATATAAGCTGCTTTTACTCCAAGTCATAAAATGACAACAGCAGTTGTAGTTATGGCCAATTGGTGTGGAAAGTTTACAGGACTTTGTTTAGGATGGTCAAACCAAATTATAAAAGTGGCATTAAATGTTTCAAGTCACATGTAAAAGGAAAAGAAAAACAAAAAAAGACTGGAAAGATGTCCAGCCAACTGGATAGAAAGTTTAGGTCACATATGTTTGTCCCGCAGTACCCCAGTCTAAACTCAAGCCCTGTTGCTCCCAAAGGTTTAAGGGGATCTCTGTCTTTCCCAATCCCCACTTTGGCTGGGCAGTTTGGTGCTAAGTCTCTAGAGGGGATGGTGGCCAATACATCAAAAGCACCCTGCTTTTGTCTACAGCAGCAAAGTATAGTTTGGGACTTTTGGGGACCCTGTGACCCTTTTGGGAGGTTCATGAGGTCAGAACTATTTTGATAAGAATGCTGACACATTATTTGCTTTCTTCACTGTGCTGACATTTCTACAGATGGTGTAAGAGCAATGGTACGTAGAACCATTTTCTGCTTTTGTCTTAGCATGAATGATAAAAGTTTCATATATAGTAAAAACAAACAAACAAACAAAAACAACAAAAAAACCCAGCTTCACTTAAGATGAGGCAGTAAAATCACTAATTTTATTAAACCTTAACCTTGAGTGCACATGTTTTCTTTTCACTGTTCTGTTTTCTGAGATAGGAGGTTCACTCAAAGTCCCTTGTTGGCTGGGGGAGTATGACGGCTGTCTTGAGGAAAGGCATGAGCGTGGCTGAGCTGCAAGCTAAAGTGACTTTAAACAAAAAAATGAAACACTACTTTTACTTAAAAGAATTTTTTGGACTTGGATATTTGGCAGACATTTTCCCAAATAATGAATGAAATAAACCTATCATTTCCAGGGAAACAATTGACAGTATTTGTTACCAATGGTAGAAATCTACCTTTCAAGCTAAAATTAGAATTTTGGAAAACTTGTATACTACACTTGGCAGACTTCCAGTAAGTAAAACTTTTTCTGATGACAATGATAGTGATGTTAACAAATGTTATTTTTTGATATTGTAAAATGAAATGAGTCAACATTTAGAATATTTGCATAGTTCAGTGAACCAAATTTCCCAAATGATCACAGTGCTATAAAATCTTACATGAGGAAAATATTCATTCAAAGTACAAGATGACCACTGGATTCTATTGTAACAGAATGAAAAGTTCATTGATATGGTTTCAGATTTCTTAACACAACTAACCTTTAATGAATTATCACTTGCCAAGTTTTGTTGTAGTATCAAAGAATATCCACAAGTATCTGAAAAAGCTAATAAAATGCTTCTACCTTTCCAACTACTTATTCATACGAGTCTGGATTTTATTACTATACTTCAGCCAGAACAATGTATTTCAACAGATTGAATGTAGAAGCAGAAATAAGAATTCGACTTTCTTCTTTTCCGATAAACATTAAAGAGATTTGCAAAAATGTAAAACGAGTTCATAATTTATTCACAATTTTTTTTTGTTTGGAAAATAGTTTTTTAAAATAAAATATATCATTTAGGTTAACATATAATAGATTTATTATTTTCAAAAGAATCAAATATTTTAAAATTTTTTTAGTTTTCACTTCCAAGTATTAATAATTATAATTCACATAAAAACTATTGGGGCAAGAGTCTCCAATAAATTTTAATTATATAAAGGGCTACTGAGCCCAACCAAAGGGTTTGAGAATTGCTGACTTATAGTGTACCTTGTTCTATAGTTAAGCCCAGACTCTCACATTTAAGGCTGTAGGTCTGGCCCTAGTCACAAGCTTCTCATTTACTTTTTTTCCTTAAAGCCTTGAAACTGTCCTCAGTTCTAAATGCCTGGTCTCAGATAAAAGTTGTTGATGAGTGATAAAATTCTGTGTTTTTTTATTCCCCAAGGATAACACAAAATTTTACAAATGAATGCCCACACAGCTAAAGTATACAAGGGACAGGGTCAGAACAACCCACTTGCCACAGACAAAAACCTCTCTAGGATGGAGCAAAAGAATTATTTCTAGTACAAAGCAATGGCACTTTATAGTTAGGCCAGAGAAAAAAGGGGCACCATAACCAGTTGAAACAGCAGGGGCAGGGGAGATTAAGCAGTTATGTGAAGCTGAATTTAGCCAGAACACACTTAGATTATTGTCAGAGGCAAGCAAAGTAGAATTACGCCAGCAAGAAGCTGGTACCCACATCTCATCCTCCCATCCCACATTACTGTCTACATACATTTCTTAGGACCAGTTAACATAGCCCTTTCCCACTAATTTTGGCTTTTGAGTCTTCCAGAGATTACTTCTTTTCTTTAGAGTAAGCCTTCAGGATGTGCTATCTTCTTTATAATATATGTGAATCCACGAAGAAGCTACTTTCTTCTTAGCTGGCAAAGTTCACAGACTGTTAATCTCCAGAAAGCCCGTGTTCTGGTCTAATTTATTACAACTCCAAGCAAAGAAGATAGACAATCATCCCCTCCTGGTGTAGTAGCACTTATATTCTCCTCGAATAATAAATCCTCTTCCAACAAACAATGACGGCTGAAAAGTGTATGCCTGTGACCTGGAGCACCTGTGGGGAAATATTTGGCTAAATGATGAGATCTTCCTTTCTCCTCTCCTCCTCCCACCCAACACTGTGAATCTGGAAATTGGAAGGAATCTTCAAAAGTCATCTATTCACACAGTGGTGAGTGTTGTTTATCCCTGGGGTATGGGGAGGGAGAGGGACAGGTTTTATTTTTTGGCTGAATTCATGTATATATTGAATTTTTTCAATAATCGGTTGCATTACAAAACATAGAAATAAATAAACTTAAGTTTTCTAGGTTTTTCTCTCTGTCTTCTCAGGGAGGAAGAAAATAGATGGAGTAGAAGATTGAGAAGGATTAAGTGAGAGTTGAAGAGTGAGAAGGATGAAGCGAGAAATGTACCTTTGAGACTCTGCCTCATAAAAGGAGGAACTAAAACCATATAAAATCAAGCTTCTGAAGGGCACTTTAGAGAATGCATAAAGTCTAAATTAAAATTTGTCCAGCTTCTTTCGGATGAAATAAACAAGACAAAGGAAAACAAACTGATCTAGATATTATGAAAACCACCAGAAGAACACGATATTCCTGAAGCATATGTTACAAAGTGTCTAAAGGGACTAATAATGGTCATTGGTGACCAATTGTGGTCCAAATGATCAATGGTTTCAACAGTGGCAGTGAGATCCAAGAGAATGAGAACAAAGAGACAACTGGAATTCCAAAAGAAGAGGCAATGGAAACTTCGGTTAAAGTGGATTTGTATGAAATACTATGCAGCCATAAAAAGGAATGAGATCATGTCCTTTGCAGGGACATGGATGAACTTGGAAGCCATTATCCTCAGCAAACTAACACAGGAACAGAAAACCAAACAGCACATGTTCTCACTTATAGGTGGGAGGTGAATGATGAGAACACATGGACACATGTGGGGGAACAGCACACGCTGGGGCCTGTTGGGGGGTCTTTAGGGTTGGAGGAGGGAGAGCATCAGGAAGAATAGCTAATGGATGCTGGGCTTAACACCTAGATAAAGGGATAACATGTGCAGCAAGCCCCCATGACACGCATTTACCTATGTAACAAACCTGCACATCCTGTATGTGTACCCCTGGACTTAAAATAAAAGATGATGAAAAAAAAATAAAGTGAGTTTGGTGGAAGGACAACAATATTGTTAAAAAGAACTAGAATGTGATCTTGGGCATCTTAGCTATGTCTTAAAATATATGATTTATTACATTAAACTTCATTAATTTGGCCTTCGGTTTTATACATTTATAGCTTATTTGTACTGAAGTACCTTGAGATACTGCATTAGTCAACAGAAGTAGTTTGTTGCCATAACAAAGAAATTCCAAATATGATAAAAGCATATTTGTCACTTGTACTGCAAGTCACACACAGGATGGCAGAGAGCCCTGCTCTGCCCAGCCATGCATGGATGCACACTGACGGGGGCAGTGTTGTCCTGTTGCTGCAATAAGTAGACGAAGAAGCAAGGGAAAAATAAGCTCAAGAATTTTGCAGGAGCTTTTCAGGGCTTCAACCTGGAAGTGACCTAGTTCACTTCTAACATTTCATTGGATGTGATTAGTCATGTGGCCCCATTCAACTGCAAGGGCATTAGAAAATTTAGCAGACCAAAGTGTTTGCTGAGCACTAATGCCTATGCCACAAACTTTATGTCTCATTAGTACCCCATGTCTTTCTCTTTCTCCACACACAGACACACCACACACACACACACGTGTGTATGCCCACACACATACTTAAGATATGTGTATAAATACACGTACCCACACACAGACACATATCTCAAGTAACGAAGAAACAATCTTTCTCACAGTATAAACTTCAATCATTCTTAGGTACTAAAAATATACTTTCGACAGATTCGGGGATTTTTTATACATGTTTCATTTTAGTCTGTTTTCCTGATGCACATAATCTGGCACAATGCAAATTTTTTAAAGTTCCACAATTGTCGAGATACGTTTAAGCTGAAGTAAATATTTTTAAAAAGACAATTAGATGGTATATTTATGTTTCAAAAGCATTTCTGGAAACACTATCTCATACTATGAGAAATGGTTTCGAAACATAAATATACCATCTGAAAATCATTTCTTGAAATACTATCTCGCAGTCATATGTAGGAAGAGGAACACCTGACTTTACTACGTAAATGAAGCTGCAGTCAAGAGAACCCCACTGGCATACTTCCTTTTTGAGATGGAGTCTCACCTGTTGCCCAGGCTGGAGTGCAGTGGCATGATCTTGGCTCACTGCAACCTCCACCTCCCAGGTTCAAGTGCTTCTCTTGTCTCAACCTCCTGAGTGGCTGAGATTACAGGTATGCACCACCACACCTGGCTAATTTTTATATTTTTAACAGACATGGGGTTTCACCATGTTGGCAGGCTGGTCTCGAACTCCTGACCTCAAGTGATCTGCCTGTCCTGGCCTCCCAAAGTGCTGGGATTACAGGTGTGAGCCACCACGACCGTCCACTGGCCTACTTTCTATGCCATCAAGTTCACTGCTAATAGAATGCTCTCTAACTTCTTCTAGGAGTTAAACACAGCAGAATGGGGAAACAAGCAGAGAGGACCAGGAAAGAAAGCTCTGGGAAACAGTGTGAAGGAGGCAATAGCATTTCAAAAGACAATTCTGTTTCCTAGATCAAGGCAAATTATGCAGATTAGCTGTATTTTTTTCAAAATGTATTACTTGCAGGAGAACCTTAAAAAAAAATCAAACATTTAAGCCGGGCGCGGTGGCTCACGCCTATAATCCCAGCACTTTGGCAGGCTGAGGCGGGCAGATCACCTAAGGTCAGGAGTTCGAGACCAGCCTGACCAACATGGTGAAACCCCGTCTCTACTAAAAATACAAAAACTAGCTGTGTGTGGTGTCTGGCACCTGTAGTCCCAGTTGCCCGGGAGGCTGAGGCAGGAGAATTGCTTGAACCTGGGAGGCAGAGTTTGCAGTGAGCTGAGATCATGCCACTGCACTCCAGCCTGGGCAACAGAGTGAGACTCTGTCTCAAAAAAAAAAAAAAAAAAAATTCAAACATCCTATTAAAGCCAGTGTCTTTGCTTGGAGACATTTTCAAGGAAACTTTAAAATTCAGATTAGTTTATGTATTCATATTTTTAAAAATCGTCCTTCACAAGTTGTACTGGGAAATAGTGTTTTGAGATCGTTTGTCCTAATGGTTAAATACATAATTCCCAGTCTTTAAATAACAAAATCATCTTCACCATGTACCTAAATCCCTGAGCTATCTTCAGATATCGGGTCCCCTTCAGCTCTGGACTCTCTCTCAATGACTAAAAAGCACAGCTTTACAATTATCAAGTAAAAAGAGCAACTCTACTTAAATTTCTAGTGAAATTCAGGTGTGCAGTCTTGGAAATTATCACAGTAGAAAAAACTCAGTAACTAGTATGCCCATCTAAGAAAATTAATTTACTGTATTAATCTTAGCAATAAAGCATATAATGAATAAAAATTGCCTGTCGGTTATCACTGACACTAGTATAATCTATGATATTTTTATTCAATCAAATTCACCTTCCTATCTTCAAATCGCTATCTGGACATAGAGATATTTATCAATTTCTATTTTTTTCCTTTTTTTTTTGAGACCGAGTCTTGTTCTGTTGCCTGGGCTGGAGTGCAGTGGTGTGATCCAGGCTCACTGCAACTTCCGCCTCCAGGTTCAAGCAATTCTCCTGTCTCAGCCTCCTGAGTAGCTGGGATTACAAGTGTGCACCACCACACCCAGCTAATTATTGTATTTTTAGTAGAGAGGGGGTTTCACTATGTTGGCCAGGCTGGTCTTGAACTCCTGACCTCTGGTGATCCACCCACCTTGGCCTCCCAAAGTGCTGGGATTACAGGCGTGAGCCACCGCGTCTGGCCAATTTCTTTTCTCTTTTTTTTTTTTTTAGAAAGACTAACAACTCAAGAGATACAACAGGAGATTTCTAAAATCATAATTTTCCTAACATTTATAGATTCAAATAATGAATCGGTAGTGCCTTGAAACTTTATGACATCTGTCTTAGTTTACTTGCTGGACAGAAGTTGGGAAATACTTTAGCTAATAAAAACTTAGCATTTTATTCTAATGTTACAAAAGAGTAACCTTTATGAAGTTTTATGCATAAGAATTTATAGAATGAAAATGTTAAGAGCCACATTAGCATCCTAAGCTGTTACTTATCTTATATGTGAAGTAAATCTTCCTGAAAAGGCTCAGATTATGATCTAGGTCCATGGACATATAAGGCAAATTTACACTTACTGTCACTGTGGAGTGTCTTTATAAATAGATGTTTATAGGTGGACCAGTCCTTAGAATTCTTCCATACAAACTCCCAGTGGTGTTCCACTTCCAGAATTTATTTTCTCACTCATTACTCTACTTTGTTTTAAACCTTCATTTCTCAGCACACACAAGAACAGCACTTGTCACACAAAGCAGCTGATATAATTAAACCAGATGATGGGCCCCACACGTAAAGCCAGCCATTCATGAAAGCTGGTCACCAGAGGCCATTTCAAACAATGCATATTTTAAAGTCATCTAAAGTAATCCCTTCTCTCTGCTGATTTGGTTTCCATGAAGTCTTAAGCACATGTGTGCTGCAAAAAGGAGGTTTATTAAAACCTGATGTGATATTACAGATTATAGTGCAGCAGGGTTGGGTTGATTTTAATATCTGTCTTCAAAAAGAAAAGCAATCTTTAATAATATTTGCAAGCTTACTAAAACATCATGCATGGAAAGGAAGCTAGATGATGTTTATTAATTAAGGAAAAACAAAAATAAAGACTGCACTCATGTTCTCTTGATTAGGGTATGTATAAAATTTGCATAAAAATTGGGGGGAAACGAAAACAGTTTTTACTGATGAGTGGATTAGCCAAACATAGCAACTATTTTCCAACTATAGTGAGGAGCTTGGTTTATTTGGAAAATGCTTTATAAAGTTGTAAATCTGAAGTCTAACATTCCCTTGGCCCG